ACCCCCCAGATGATTTCACTCCAGGTGCTCCACTGGTCTATTTTCCTGGTGGGGTACTCCTACACTCTCGTCCATCGCCCTGGCAAGGGAATAGGCCACGCGGATGCCCTGAGCCACCTGCTGCTGCCAGTCTGTGACCCGGATCCGGCTCCCGCCCACCAGATCGCTCTCCTGGAGACCCTTCCGGATTGGCCGGTCCACGTCACGGAGGTGGCTCGCGGCACCTCCAAGGATAAGGTACTTTGCCGGGACTTGGACTGGGTGGTGAGGGGGTGGCCCGCAGCCAAAGGAGACCCTGACATAATGCCCTTTGCTTCCCGGAAGGATGAGCTGTCTGTCCACTGGGGCTGTGTCATGTGGGGTAGTAGGGTGGTCATCCCAAAACCCCGATGGGAATGGGTCCTCACCGCCCTTCACAAAGCGCACCCCGGGGTGGTGCACATGAAAGCCTTGTCCCGGAGCTACGTCTGGTGGCCGGGGTTGGACCGGGACATCGAGGACGTGGTGAAGCGGTGCAACCCCTGCCAAGCATCCCGGCCCAAGCCTCCCCGAGCCCCGGAACGGGCCTGGGAATCTTCCCACCGCCCCTGGTCCCAGTTACACTTGGATTTTGTGGGACCGTTCCAGGGGCAACTCTTCTTTATCCTGGTGGACTCCTTCAGCAAGTGGCTGGAGGTAGTCCCTGTGCCCGCCACCTCCTCAAAGGCGGCCATCCGAGCAATGTGGTGGATCTTCAGTGCCCAGGGAATCCCCGACACGCTGGTCACAGACAGCACGACGGCATTCACATCAGCGGAGTTCCAGGAATTCAAGAACTACTATGGGATCCGCCACGTCCGGGCTGCCACCCTGCCACCAATGGCCAGGCCGAGCGCATGGTCAGAACCATGAAGGATGCTCTCCGCCGCTTGGACTCCCCAAACTTGGATTATAAACTGGCGGCTTTCCTTTTCAGCCAGTGAACGACGCTCCACACCACTCCGGGGTGCAGTCTGCAGAGCTACTTCTGGGCCGCCACCTGGCAACCCGGTTGGATCGTCTGCACCCCGACCGGGCATCGACAGAGGCACCGGGCATGGAGACGCACGAGGCAGCCAGGGGTTTCTTCCCGGAAGATCACGTGTGCGCACGGAACTACGCCAGGAGGCCCACCTGGATCATGGCATGAGTCATACGAGTTAAGGGCCCCAGATCATGGGTGCATTGTGGACCAAGGGGGGAGGGGTGTAATGTATCCAGTCCAGACAAGTCCAGACAAGTCCAGACAAGTCCAGAGACAAACGCAGAGTTTCGCTCCAAGAGACAATGGACTATGCGGATCCTAGCCCGCTCCAATCAGGGGACTAGGTTCCCGGCCGAGAGCCTATGGGACTCTCGGGCACTGTAAATAGCCTATAGGAAAGTAGGGGTTGTTTTGGGTGGCGGTTTCTCGGTGGATATAAGCCGGCCTGCGAGCCGGCCAAAGTCGTCTTGTTCCTGATCGAATAAAGTACGCTTTGCTGACATCACTCTCCATCTGCGTACTTTTCAGTATTCCTCTGGGACCACAATCCAGGTCCCACATTTGATGCACAGTCTATGCAATATGCATATTTATTGCAAGCATACATGCACATACATGCCCTGTAAGCCGCCCTGAGCCCGCTTGCGGGGAGGGCAGGGTAAAAATACCTAAATAAATAAATAAATAAATATATGCACTCTCTTCTTCATGGATCTTTAACTTTTGCTTTGGTTGATAGGAAGTGGGAATTTACTCTGATTTAATTTACAAAGTTGTTCTGCTAAGAGGAAAATCCAACCAAGTCACTGTCCTTTTTTCTATTCCCCTGACTGTTGGTCTTTCTATGTTGGGTACCTGATGCAAAGGAACTGAAATCTGGAATTGCAAAGTCAGTGGAGTGGGAGGAATTCCTTGAGGGAAGCACATCTTTTATTTCTCCTTGTGGGTGGTTAAGCGCTTGCTCACATAAAGTTACAAAAGGAAGGAGAGTGACTCGTCCTTCATTTAGCAGTCTCAGCAGAAGGTGAATCAGTGTGAAAACAGCAGTATTACCATCCCATTACAGGAAAGGTTGTAGTGGCTTTCTTTTCTCATGCACCTGTCTCCACCTGGATCAAGGTGTTGCAACCTAAGACATTAAGATCTCTTTTTTTAAAGTATTGCTCTCGTATTTCAGATAATTTAACAGTATTGCTCACATTTTTAAAGACAAAACTTGAGCATTTTAGAAATTTAAAATCTAATGTTTTGTCTAATGTCACTACAGCAGCAATTCAGACCCAGACCTTTCAGGAGAGTACACATCGTTGAGGAAAATAAGACAACCTATAGTCACACAGAAAACTCTCTATGTATTCATGTGTAACTATCTGTTTAACAAATTATTTAGCCAAAACACCCTTGGGTCAATGGTCTGTCTCCTTATTTGTTCATTTTCTATTCCACCCCAAAACCAATGTGTCATTGTAATGCCTAAATATGTTTTTTGGGTTTTTTGTTTTTGTTAGGACCAGTCACACTGGAAATACTGTTTTAAATCAGGATAACTGGCCTCTGATGTCCACAAGACCCTCACCCAAGGGAACCCCCTTTTCCTGTATAGTTTCAATCCCCTTTGTACATTTGTACACCTGAATATGGACCTAGAAATGATAGAGGCAGCCTGGATGGAATCATAGAATCACAGAGTTGGAAGGGGCCATACAGACCATCCAGTCCAACCCCCTGCCCAATGCAGGACCAGCCTAAATTGAATTGATATCAAGAGGCCGTGAGTCATGCCAAGGCAGAAAGGAATGCAGGACTGCCCCTCTGTCAATCATATGTGTAAACCCACTCTAACAGAGGGTTCAGTTGAGGGCCATTTTCCCCAAGAACCTGGGAGCCTTCTCCCAGATAATCTGGCCCAGGGGTCATTTCGTAGAAAAAGAGCTAGGGGAACTCATTAGCATAACTCATTAGCATATGCCACACCCCCTGACATCAGGGGCCCGGCGGTGGACCTGCAAGGCCAGCAGGAGTGCGAGGAAGCCCCGCCAAGGCCCTCCCTGGCCCCAGGCAGGCAGGGGTGGGGAGAAGCAGGGAGGAAGCAACTTACCCTCCCTCTTCTCCTGCCTTCTCCTGGCTGAATGAGGGCTGGAAGCGGGGCGGCCGGAAGCAGGGGGTGGGGCTTCGTCATGTACCCCGCCCCCCTGCACCTCACCCGGGGGAACTGCGATCCCCCGTGTTCCCCCCCCCCGAAATGACCTCTGATCTGGCCATAACTAATGACCCAGATTTCCAAAACAATAAGTAGCAGGCCAAGTCCAGCCATTTCCTTCCTATCTAAATGACCAGACAGGAAGATTCCAACCATTCCCCAATCAGGACAGGTACCTGGTCCACAGATGTGAACATATCTGACTTCCAGATCTCCCGAAGGGAACATTTATGACACTCTAAATGCACAATGGGAAAACTCCCCTCCACAATAAAGACAAAGGAATTTTCAGGTTTGCACCCCTCCAAAAAAAGATTGCATTTTCACTATACCAAATTCCAGTGCCAACACTCTT